TTACTCATGGGAAATGTGATTTCCTAGAACCTCACCTAGGGGAGGGCAGAAGTCCTGTGCCATGGGCACATGCCTGTAATCCTAGCCCCTCAGTAAGAAAGCTTCTGAGGTTACAGTAGCTTTTCTGGGAAATGTCCTGGGCAGACCACTACTAAGAAACTACGCAGGGTATGCACTTTCTTGTCTCATGCCAAGCTCCTGTGAGAAGACCCCCATGAAATCAACAGGTTCAGAGGGGTGCCAAATATTCCACAACTAAGCCAGGCATAGCTGAACCGCCCCGGTTATGAAGGGGGAACACTCACTTTTTGAACACAATATCCAGCACTTGCTCCATTGTTGCCCACTGTCTATAATTGTGGAGGAAGTTTCCAACATAGAAGAGATCGCCTTTCTGGTAGGCTGGGACCAGGTTCATCACCAGCATGTCCAGCAGGCTTGCCTCCGGGCTCCATGTATCGCATGGCACATTCAGGGTCAGGGCTGACGTATTAGCACACTAAGGCGAGACAAAGAATCAGAAAAAAACCATGGAAATGAGAACACTTCCAAATGAGTAATTGTGATAGAGTAGATTGACAACTATGCAGACAGTATTATCTCAGTAAACCTAAATCACATAAGAAGGTTCTACTGTGGACCAGGTTGGGGTTAAGTAGGTTTTCTATCATGAGTATACCTTGCCTGAGATGCCTTGTGATTTCCTAGGTTTCTTTTTGGACAAATCTCTGAGATGGTTGGTTCGTGGCTTGCCACTGATCCAGTGTCTACAGCTTTGACTGAGGCACCCATCCTTCTCTTGGCTGAGACCAGAGTCTCGAGACCTGCGAATACAGCACAAGAACATGTTTCTGGCTCCGAAGTCACAGGCCAAGTGAGCTGGCTTGAGCCAACTGTGAGTTACCGTGGCCTGCTATCAGGGTTCCATGTTCTATTCCATTGTGAAGGAGGCAGGGTCACCTGTCAGGCCCAATGACCTCTGCCGCTTCCTCACACAAGAAATATTCCCATCCACCCAATATTGCAATGTGTACATGTAGACAAGTTAACAGCACACCTTGTTTGTCCAATCCTAATCTGCTAGTCCTAGGTTCTGGCATGTTCTCTGCTTCCAGGAGTCACTCCTAGGTCACATTCATGGCATATCTGTCACTATTCCTCTTATCTGGCTCAAATTATTTTGGCTCTCAGGGTCTTCTGTGACTGCCACATCCTTCTGGCACATATTTTGACATCAACATCCTAGGTCACTGTTTACTTTCTGTAGCCTAATCTGTTTGTCCTTGGAACCCCTCTCTGGTGTCATCTGGAGCCAATGCAAATGCTTAGAGATGGGAAATTGAAAGGAATATTGGAAAACATACATTACATATATAATTAGCCTTTATTACAGGTGACTATTTGTTTGGCCATTTCTGTGGCTTCACTTCAGCCTGGGCACTCCCCGAGCTCTTTTGCTCAAGGCTAGCACTCTACCACTGAGCCACCTTCCCAGCCACAGGTGTCCATTTTTGTAAGTGAGAAAATTATTTTTTATACTTGAAATATTTCATGGAGGCAAGCAGAGAAAGGAAGAGCTGCTGCATTGTCTTTTTATGATGACGAGGATTTGTTTTACTATAGCTTTGAAGGAATGTAGTATTTAAGGTAGAAAACTGCTCCTTTACGTCTTACAAGCTAATCGTTTATATAGTCATTTGCCTCTGAAGTCTTTGCTTCTGTGTCCCATGATCTATCCTCCTCCCTCAACACAAACGGGAAGAAGAATTTCACACATTGCTGAGCTGTTGTCCAGTCTCTGCATAGGAACTGAAAATACAATATTTACTATGGAGTGTGTGTGTGTGTGTGTGTGTGTGTGTCCATTTCTGATCTTGGAGCCTTTGCGCTATCCCTGAGCAATGTTCCTCTAAACTAGAGCTTTACCACGAGACACAGGTCCACTTTGAGCTTTTTGTAGTCAGCTGGAGATGAGAGATTCATGGAACTTTCCTACCCAGCATGGACATTGCTCCTCTTCAGCCTCATCGTTCCTCAACTGTAGCAATGGCTGTTCAGTTTCTGGATTTCCCATCCAAGCACAGACACAAGCCATCCTCCACTGCACATGTCTCTTTGTGTCCTTTGAGGGGCTCAAGTCTCTCTCGAAACTTAGTGCCCTGAGGATAGAACCTCTGAAACTCAGAACCAAGTTTCCTGATTAATTGGGATCACAGGCCTGAGCTATATATGAACAGCTCATTACCTGCCATCCACATTTTTGGGGGGATAGGGGATTGTTTGTTGGGCTTGAACTCTGGCCCTGGACCCTGTCCCTCAGCTTTTCAGCTCAAAGCTAGGGCTTTACCACCTTGAGGCACAGTACCACTTCTGGTTTTCTGGTTGCTTATTGGGAGATCAGAGTCTCATGGATGTTCCTGCCTGGCTGACTTTCCGCTGTGATCCTCAGATCTCAGCCTCTCCAGTAGCTAGGATTATAGGCATGGGCCACCAGCGCCCAGCACATGACCCCTTTTTGCAACAGCATTTGGCGAATTTAACTATGTTGACTTGAGACAGATATACCTACACAATATATGGGAATCAATGGTATATCACTGAATTCCCAAATAATGTCTTTTACATTATTGTTTTGTGAAACAACATATTCGAGATCCATAATATCATATGCTAGTCCTCCTATAAAATACAAATATATGTATTATCATGTAGTATATGATGATATATTTATATATATTATATTATATATAACATGTAAGTGATGTATATAGTGAACACAGAAAATAATCCCAATTTTGGAATTTAGCCTTTCCTGTCACAATGTTACCCAAGTCTTCTGTTAGACATACAGATTTTCATCAACAATCTCCCTTGTTAGTCGTTTTTTAGTTCTTGAATAAATGAGTCTTCTTTACCACCAATAGTCTACACACAAAAATGATATGGATCAGTGTCTCTGGCTCAGGCCTGTATTCTTTGCTAGTCAGGAGGCTGAGCTCTGAGGATCATGGTTCAAAGCCAGCCAGGTCAGGAAATGCTATCAGATTATCTCCAGCTGTAGCTCAAAGTGGTAGAGTGCTAGCCTTGAGTGAAAGAACTCAGAGACAGTGGCCAGCTTTTAAGTTCAAGCACCACCATTCTGTACACACGCCCCCTACATGCACACTCTTCACTCGGTCCCTTCTTAAATCCTCTGTCCTCTTCACTGAACTGGTGATTGCCAGAGTTTCTGGATTTCCCACTCCAGCATGCCAACCAGACATGTTCCCTCTGCACATGCACCTCTGCCACACTGCAGGGCCCAGGGCTCCTCTCAGAATCCACTGCCCTGGGATAGAGAGCAGATGAAATTCAAGGATTCTCAGAATGTGTGCTTCAAGACAGGGAGACTCAGAACTGTTCCTCACCTGGTATACAGAGACACATTGATCCATTTGTGTAGAACAATGCCAACATGGTTAGAATATAAGTTTTTGACTACCACAAACGACACCCTTTTCCAAATACTGTTAAATATTCCCTCAGATTTTCTTAAATGTTACATCAAAGTACATCTATTTACATGTTAGAGGTTGTAGCTTCTGATACAATGAATGGGAAAAGGCAGCCAAAATGACTTCTTACAGAGAAAAACGCCTAGCCCAAGTAAGCTAATATGTGCAGCAAGCTCATTTCCAGACCATTCTCCAAATGCAGGCATGAGTCTCTTATTGTGTCATCTTGATAAATTACAGTCCATATCCACCCTCATGCAGACTTAGAAAATCTTCATGGAAACCCAATGCAAGGAACATCTTAAGAGCATAACACAGCACCAAATATTTAATTCTAGCTTTAAACATTTATATGTTCTATATTTGCACAGTGCAGAATTGTTCATTGTTGGCAGAGAGCTTCAAACATCAACACATTTACCCGACTAGCTGGAAAGGAGAAGTTATCGATAGAAAGAGGTGGGGGCTTGAGATTCAAGTGGGACCAGCTTTCAAAGACACCTGTTCTGATATAACACAGAGCTTTTGTGTCTCAGCATCAAGGGTCCTATCTCGGCACAGGCTGCATCCTCCACTGCCTGCATTCCTTGTGGCTCCCTCTAGTCACCAGTTCCTTGTAAATCCAGCAGATTTGTTCCCCAGATCCAGCACACTCTGCTTCCTCCCTATCAGGCCCCATGTGCCCAGGATATTAGATTGGAGGTAGAAAAGACCAGAGTATTTTGTATTCAAGAATTATACATCATGTAAATGTGGACATTTTAATACTGTTAAAACAATAAATAGTAAAACAGGCAAATGTGCAGAGAGGAGGGAGGCAAGGTCTAACACACACACACAAAAAAAGATTCCCTGACTGGACACTGTGGATCATGCCTGTACTGCTAGCTAGTCAGGAGTCTAAATGGGAGGATCATGGCTCATAGCCATATCTGGCAAGAAAGTCCTCTTCTGTCCAATCAACCACCAGAAAACTGGAAGGGGAGCTGTGACTCTAAGTTGAAGAGCATTAGCCTTGTGCAAAAAAAGTTCAGAGACAGGTCCCACAACATGAGTTCAAGCTCCACAACAAAACAGAAGAGAGGAAGAGACAGAGAGAGAAAGAGAGAGAGGGAGAGAGAGAGAGAGACAGAGAGAGAGAGAGACAGAGAGACAGAGACAGAGGCTGAAGCAGAGGCAGAGACAGAGACAGACAGAGACAGAGACAGACAGAAACAGAGACAGAAAGATAAACACAAGAAAACAGACAGGAAGACTGAGAAATCCCTTACCACTCCAATTAGAAAGTGAATATGCATATCAAAGATGTATTTCCTATTCTTCCACAATTCACTACATAGTACCACATCATCCTGATCCACTTTTGGCTAACTAGAATCTATTTGGAGTTTCATAAATCATTCTACTGCCTCCCATAGAACATGAACAGGCCCACACCTACTCACCAATGGTTTGTAAGTCTGGCCTTTTTACTTAAATATGTAATTTTCCCATTCGTATGTTTTTCTGGTTCCATGGTTTAAAGCTACCATTGCCCACATTTCATGTCTAGATGTCTTCATCTTTTGTGCCAGTAGTGGAATTTGAACTCAGGACATTGAGCTCTTCCTTACTTTTTGTTCCATTCTAAAACATGTAACTTCAGCCATGCTAGGACTTCTTGACTTTTGCTGGCTCATTGGATAAGTCTTTCAGATTTTTCTACAGGGGCTGATTTGAAGCTCCATCCTGAGGAAGTATAGAGCACTCTTGAAACTAGAATTATTGAGATGGGCCAGGACACCTGGCATGTCTTTGTCCCTCTGACTAAGTTTTCTTTCTTTTATTGATGTTGGCTTTTACCTATTTCCCATGTATTTTGTCAAATACTTTTCCCTCAAAGTAGCTTTTTGATGTTATTTTGAGGTGAAATGTTCTTACATATTTGCCCAGAGCAAAATAGGGGTGCGTACTGACTTGACTTCACTAATGGAAGAAAGTCCCCCATTTAGTACATTTAGTGTGACAGAACAACTTTCAAGGACATCTGGTTTGCTATGTCCTAGAGCTTTAGTAGTGGCCTGATCACCCCATGCAGGCATGGGCTGGGTTCCTTGCCCCTCACAGTGCACTGAACACTTCCCTCTATAGCCAGTTAGTGCTCTTGAACAGCTCCAGGTCACTCTGTCTTTTGCCCTTACTCAGGACACATGTGTCTGGGACATCAGAATGTACATTAAAAAACCCACAGTATTTAGGATCTATAAATTGTACAACATAAACATACATCTTAATGAATTCAGAAGAATAAAAAGAATGAACATTTTACAACAATCAGGACAAAAAGAAAAGAGAGATATCGCCAGGGAGAGGGGAGGGAAGCTCTAAGTCTAGGCCGGCTTCTAAGTTGCCTTCAGACATAAATTCTACCTCAGAATCCTCCAAGGGATCTACCTCCTCATGAAAGATAGGATTTGTTCCTGGAGTTGAGAGAGAGGCAGATTCTAATTTCTCAGTTGGAGATTGGCTCTCCTGCAGCAGGACAGATTTGTCCTGATGTTCTGTGAGGACAGATTTACTTTCCTGAGCTGCATCTAACGTTTGGACCTCACTCATTGGTTCCTCTGAACACACACTGGGGACATTTTCCATCATCCACACGTGTGCTACTCCCTCCAGCACACCAGGAGGAGTGCTGATTTGACCCTTTTTGAGCTGATCTGGGCCGCCTGTGAAAGTCACAGGAAGACAATCACTATTACCTTCTTCTTTCTTTGGGGTCCCTACAGGTGCAGCTCTGTCACATATGGGGTTCAGAACCAGTGGCATATCCACAGGACTCACAACCCGTTGGGGCCTCACTGCAAATGCATCCAACCCCTCTACATGCACATGCTTTGTGGAGTCCAGCGAGGGCTCCAGATCTCCATCCATCACCATCCCTGACATCACCGAGGGCTTCTTTCTTGGGAGGTCAGGAGAAGCTGCTCTATGGTGGCCAAAGCCTGAGAAAGAGAAATAGGTAAAGGAGTTTGACAGTGGTCTCTGGATGTTCAGGTGAAGTTCAATTTCCATGAGGCTCTAATGGAGGAAGCTGTACAAGTTTACTTTGGACTGAACACTGATAAGAAGGCAAGGTATTTCCAAAGAGTGGCTAAGCTCAAATCCTTTCACCAATAGAACAAACTGCCTGGCCCAGAGTATCATACAAAGACATTCTTACAACCTGGGGGGTAATAAGGGCTCTCAGGCAATTAGGCTCATCCCTAGAGGCCCAGGCGCCATCCCTACTCACAAGCTCTGAGGTGACCACACAGGGACTTCTTCCTCTGTTTCTTGGTCTCATTCTTCCTGGTCTCCTCCAGCTCATTCAGGAGAATGTGGAGGTGGAGGAGCAGGTCCGAGGAGGGCATGCAGAGCATGGCATAGTGGGTCAGTTCTTTCACCGGGTGTCGGTTCTGGGGCTCTCGGAAATCAGCAGGATAACAGTCCATCCACACGGTGAAGATGCAACAAAGGCTGCTGTGGGCAGATTGGTGACAAGAAGAGTGAGTGCCTGCCCTCCCTATCCTGGGCCTCCCATAGCCCCTTTCTGCAAGGACTGCTGTATGCACACTTACATGGTGGGAAGCAGGAGGAGACTCCTGCAAGCAGGCTGATCTTCACCACCCACGTCTAGAAGCTTCTGATAGATAATTCTCCAATATTCTCACTGTGATAGGTAACAAGAAAGAACTGATTTAGTACACACAGCCCTCCCTGTTATCCCTGAGAGTCCACAACCACACCACAATTGTGTCCTCTGCCACCACGCTAATCCCAAGGCTCTGCCCCTAATGGAAAGCACAAGTGGTGTGCAAATGAGAAATGTGCACTTTGAATCAGAAGCCTCAAAGATACCATTTTGAACGAAGGGGCCTTTTCTTTGTGCCACAGTCCACTTACTTCTTTACTTGTTCATCTTCCTCGGAGTTAGCGCCCGGGAATCTGTACCTATGGGAGGACAGGAGGAAGTCACCTCTCAGCTTCTCCTTTTCTGCCCACACAGGACACATATGGGATGGGCTCATTCCCAGATGGGAATGGAATCTGACACATAAACAAGTGAGATATGTCTATACAGTTAAGTGAAAATTCTTCTATGAGAGGTATATGTATTTGGTCCAAAGAAAATGTGCCAGTGGCTAATTCCTCAAATTCTGGCTCATCAGGAGCATGAGATCTCAGGTGCACAGTCTGATCAGACATTAGTCAGTAAAAGTCTAAAGACACTAATTTTTAAAAGCCCAGAATAGCACCTATGGTTCAAATGCTGTAGTGGTATCTCTGAGCACTAAAGAAACAGAAATCAGGCCCTGAGTTCAGGTTGCAGGACTGGCACACACACAAAATCATAAAAGCTTCAGGGGTTATAAATATGTAAAGCCAACATAATCCCTCCCTGATGTCTGTGATTCAGCCTCCAGTTCACCTGCCTTCCCCACACCCCAGCCTTCCCTGGGTCTACATTAATCACAGACATCCAATTTGTAATGAAACCTTATTTACTCATGGGAAATGTGATTTCCTAGAACCTCACCTAGGGGAGGGCAAAAGTCGTGTGCCATGGGCACATGCCTGTAATCCTAGCCCCTCAGTAAGCAAGCTTCTGAGGTTCCCGTAGCTTTTCTGGGAAATGTCCTGGGCAGACCACTACTAAGAAAGTTGGCAGGGGGTGCACTTCTTTGTCTCATGCCAAGCTCCTGTGAGAAGACCCCCATGAAATCAACAGGTTCAGAGGGGTGTCAAGTTTTCCACAACTCAGCAAGGTGGGGCTGAACAGACCAAGATGCGAAGGAAGGGGGAACACTCACTTTTTGAACACAATAGCCAGCACTTGCTCCATTGCCCCCCACTGTCTATAATTGTGGAGGAAGTTTCCAACATAGAAGAGATCGCCTCTCTGGTAGGCAGGGACCAGGTTCATCACCAGCATGTCCAGCAGGCCTGCCTCAGGGCTTCATACATTGCATGGCACATTCAGGGTCAGGCCTGACTCATTGGCACACTAAGGTAGGAAAAAGAATCAGAAAAAATGATGGAAATGAGAACACTTCCAAATGAGTAATTGTGATAGAGTGGATTGAAATCTATGCAGAAAGCATTATCTCAGTATAAACAAATCACCTAAAAAGGTTCTCCTGGGGACTGCATGAAGCCCTGGGTTTGATTCCTCAGTATCCCATAAACAAAAAAAGTGTGAAGTGGTGCTGTGGCTCAAGGTTTAGAGGACTACCCTTGAGCAAATGAGGCTCAGGGACAATGCCCAGGCCCTGAGTTCAAGCCCCCAGGACCAGCAAAAAAGAAAAAAAAAAATCCAGGGCTGATGACAATAGCACCTCCCTGTGAGAATACAAGATTCTTTCCAACCCTCCTAGATGGGGAGAAAGTAAGTCACAAGTGAAAAGAGGGCAGAGAAAAGAGGAAGGCCAGGAGGGAATTTTTAATGCATTACCTGTGTTAATGACTTTTGGGATAGGATCGATTTCTTCATCTACAATGAATGGCTCTGGCCTGGGGAAGACCTGGACGTCAGCGGTCAGGTGGCCACACTTGAACACAGCATGGAAAGGCGTATATGCCAGGTCTATCAGCTTTCTAGAAGATGATCATGACTGGTTAAGGGAAGAAGAGTTCACATGTGGTACACATAAAAGGACTGTACACATGAAAGTAACATTTCAAGATGTAAAGTTGGTTAAACCTTCGCACTGATTCCAAAACTAAATCTACTTGTGAAATGGAAAACATTTTGATGTTTTTAAAGAGGAAATTTCAATTGAGAGAGAAACCCCAGAGCAAGTTAAACTTGGGAACAGCTGAGTCTTTTTAAAGCATGACCACCTTATTTTACCTGAGAAACGGGCAACTGTGGAAAAAAAAAAAACCTGTTAGAAATAATACAGTAACTGAGAGGTTGCCGAAATAGCTCAGTTGGGAGAACGTTAGACTGAAGAAATAATACAGTAACTGTTCTTCTTGGTTGTCAAATTATAATATCAGATTGTCAAGAAGCCCCCACCCCCCACCCCTCAAAAAACAACTTTAAAGCATATACTCACCCAAACATAGACTGCACGTTTTTCAAGCACAGGGGGCCATCAATAGTAAAAATTTGCCCTTCACCGTTGTTGAGGTCTATGAGACGTTCAAGGCATTCCAGGGAATCGGTGCTCTGAAGCTACAAAGCAAGAGAGGACACCTTTAAAGTAGAACAAATCACCACATCACTACCAGCACACCAAGGCCACAGCCACTGTAACAAAATGGCCAATAAACGGTTTGTTTGGTTTGTTCTTTTGGTTCTGGTACTGGGGCTTAAACTCAAGGCCTTACACTTTTTTTTTTTTGTCAGTTGCAGGGGTTGAACTCAGGGCTTGAATGCTGTCCCTGAGCCTCTATGTATTCAAAGCTAGTGCTCTACCACTTCAGCCTAGAGCTACTTCCAGTTTTTTTGAGTGGTTATTTGGAGATAAGAGTCTCAAGACTCAAGTCTCAAGTGGAGCCACAGCTCCACTTCCAGTTTTTGGGGTAGTTTTGGTAGATAAGAGTCTCACGGACTTTCCTGCCCAGGCTGGCTTTGAACCATGATCTTCAGATCTCAGCCTCCTGAGTAGCTAGGATTACAGGTGTTGAGTCCATGAGATGATTTTCTTAACAGTCAATATCAGAAGGAAGTAACAACAGGGGCTGGGAAGGTGGCTCAGTGGTAGAGCGCTTGCCTTGCATGCATGAGGCCCTGGGTTCAATTCCTCAGCACCACATAAGCAAAAAGAAAAAAGCCAGAAGTGGTGCTGTGGCTCAAGTGGTAGAGCGCTAGCCTTGAGCTGAAGAGCTGAGGGTCAGTGCCCAGGCCCAGAGTTTAGGCCCCACGACCGGACCCCCCCCCCCAAAAAAAAAATACAAATAAAGAAGGAAGTAACACAACAATTGTTCTGTGTGTGTGCCAGTTCCTGGGCTCAATTCCAGAGCCTAGGTGCTGTCCTTGAGCTTTTTGCTCAAGGCTAGCACTCTACCACTTGAGCCACAACTCCACTTCCAGATTTTTTTGTAATTTAGTGGAGATAATGAGTCTCATGGACTTTCTTACCTCAACTATTGCAATCTGCCTCAAGGTTACAAGAGGTACTTCATTCATAAGTAGTTCTGCAGATTCTCAGGAGACCACAGTTAGTAGCCATACAGCATCTTCCCTACAACCTCTTCCTGACATGGTTTGGCAAGAGCCATCAATTATCAGCATTTTAGAGAGAGAAAAACTGAGGTAGAGTGAAATAATTCCTGACTCAATGGGAAAAGCAGGAAGTATTTAATAAAACACATCAGAAGCCAGGTGCTGGTGGCTCATGCCTGTAATCCTAGCTACTCAGGAGGTTGAGAGCTGAGGATGGCAGTTTGAAGCCAAGCCTGAGTAGTAAAATCTGTGAGATCTTCAGCTCCACTAAACTACCAAAAAAGCCAGAAGTGGAGCTGTGGCTCAAAATGGTAGAGTGCTAGTCTTGAGCAAAAAGCTCAGGGACAGCATCCAGGCTTTGATTTTAAGCCCCAATCCCTGCACTACAACAAACAAACAAAAAGACCTATGTTCCCCCTTCCAAAAAAAGCCCACCCAATGTAAACTTGTTCAACCACTTTGGAAAGCAGTATGGAGGTTCCTCAAAAGACTCCACATAGAGCTCCCCAATGACCCAGCAATCCCACTTTTGGGCATTTACCCAAATGATCACAAACAAGGCCACACTAAAGCTACCAGCACAACTATGTTTATTGCAGCATTATTTACCATAGCTAAGACATGGAACCAACCCAGATGCCCCTCAGTAGATGAATGGATCAAGAAGATGTGGTATATATACACAATGGAATTCTATGCCTCCATCAGAAAGAATGACATTTCCCCATTTGTTAGGAAATGGAAAGGCTTGGAAAAAATTATATTAAGTGAAGTAAGCCAGGCCCAAAGAAACATAGGTCCCATGGTTTCCCTTATTTGCAATATCTAGTATAGGTATGAGTCAAGCGGAAAAAGTCAGATAATGTGATGTTAGGAAAACTAAACCTCAAATATGTATTTTAATGTTTTTGTTTCTTTCATGCATGTATTTCTAACGCATTTATAAGATTATTTCTTTGTTGCTTTGTATGTCCCTCCCCCACAGTGTAATCCCCGCTTTCACTATATTTGATGTCAGTATAACATGTGGAGGAGATGGGGACAAACAAGTCCTTTAAGGATTCAGGTGGACCTGTGGCAACAATGAGAAGTACAAAATGTCATGTCAAAACCAGCTTTACAATGTCGGTGGGGGGGGGGGGGGGTATGATTGGGTGGGAGGGAGGGGGGAGGCTGGGAAGGGAGGTGAAGGGTAAACAAAGGAGGAGGCTGCAATGCTTGGCAAGAAATGTATGCATTATCCTGCCCATGTAATTGTAACCCCTCTGTACAGTATGTTCTCAAATAAAATAAAATAAAATTTAAAAAAAAAAAAAAAAAAAAAAAGCCCACCCCCGCAAAACAAAAAAAAAACTAAAGTATACCTCTGTCAACATTTCTGGAGGAATGGACAGAAAAAAGAGAACATCTCAACCCTTCATGGTCATCAGCAGAATGGGCATCTCCAGCTATACTCTCGGAGAGGTGAGTGTTGTTATGTCAAAGAGCATGTGAAATCAAGTCTTTTCAAATCTAAATGTTATACGGTACGCAAGAGTGTTCATTCAATACACTGACAAATAAACAAAGCCCTGGGATTCACCTAACCCATCTAAAAAGCAGTTAGCAGAAGGTATTACCTCTTCCAGGTTTGCCATGCACATGATGTATAACTTAGACGGGAAAGGGAAAGGCAGCGGGAACCTGTTGCTGTCGCTCCTTTGATTGTGTGTCGCTAGGGAATGTCGCAGGGACCCTCTACCAATGTCGAGACAGCCGTCCGTCACCAGAACGACCTGTGTGCAGAGGACAAGTATCCATTAAGCCACATGCCCAACAGCTCCACCCAGGTTTGCTTTCACTGCTACAGGAATGTGCAGGGAGCTTTGTGGGGTGATGGGTATGTTCTAGGTCTTAATTGTAGTAAAGATATACATACATGCTTCCATTTGTGAAAATCTAGCAAACTGTGTGATTTATTTGTTTGTTTATGTGCCAGTCTTGGGGCTGGAACTCAGGGCCTGGGCTCTATTTGTGAACTATTTTGCTCAAGACTGGTGTTCTTCCACTAGAGCCACACCTCTACTTTTGCCTTTTTACTGGTTAGCTGGAGATAAAAGTCTCACAGACTTTCCTGCCCAGGCTAGCATCAAACCATGCTCTTCAGATCTCTGCCTCTTGAGTAGGTAGGATTACAAGCATGAGCCCCTGATGCCTGGCTTATTTTTTTTAACTGTCTTTTTTTTCTCTTGGCAGTCATGGTACTTGAACTCAGGGCCTGGGTGCTATCCCTGAGCTCTTTTTGCTCAAGGCTCACACTCTACCACTTTGAGTCACAATTGCACTTCTGGTTTTCTGATGGTTAATTAGAGATAAGAGCCTCATAGACTTTCTTGCTGGGCTGACTTTGAACCTGGATCCTCAGATCTCAGCCTTCTAAGTTACTTGGATTATATTATACATGGGAGCCACTGCCCCGGCTAAAATTATCTTTAACTAGTTATACCACAGGGTTTTAATTCAACGTCAACTGATATGTAGAATACACTTTGATCAGTGTCAACCTTTCTATCATTTTTCCATGTACTCCAAACTTATCCATCTGAAGTTTTCTAGTCCCAGTTTCAATATGTACATTGAATATTATGACTGTTTTTGTCCACCGTTCTTTCTCTCTCTCTCTGCTCTCCTCATAGACAAGACCAAACCATGTATTTTGAATTTGTGCATTTAAAACAAAAATGCAGGTACTAGAGCTTGAACTCAGGGCCTGGGTACTGTCCCTTAGCTTTTCCTGCTCAAGGCTAGCACTCTCCCATTTGGCCCACAACTCTACTACCAACTTTTTAGTGTTTAACTGGAGATGAGAGTTTCCTCTTTCCTGCCTGGGTTGGCTTTGAATGGAGATCCTCAAATCCTAGTCTTCTGAGTAGCTAGGATTACAGGTGTGAGCCACTGGTGTCCCACAAGAGCAAGTCTTTATGATTCTCTTCACTTTTTAGACAACTCAGTTGAGATGGTTAGAAATTTGCTGAATAACTGCTACATTGAGATAATGAAGAACAGACACTATTGTTCCATGTTTACAATTCTACCACACAAAATTATGATCCGTCCTTCAGTGAATAGTTATAAATTCTACTGTGAGCCCTTTGTCTTTATAGAAACAATATAAATTTTCAGTACATCAATTTACCAGGAAAATACTTCCCTCGAGGCATAGGTCTGCTTTCTGAACACATTAGTATGACTTAAATTGGTGTGATACAATTACAGTGATTTAATGCCTTCTTTAAAACCTGTACAAAATAGTGTAAAATGTAGTTTGTGGAGTTATAACGTAGGCGGTTAGAGCCTGAGGAAAATCAACACTACAGTGGTTAATGATTTGTATGTTTTGCACATGTCCTCATGCATGTGTACATGCACTCCTAGTAGCTTAACCTCAGGGTCTAGGTGTTGTCTCTGAGTCTCTCTGTGCTCAAGGCTAGCGCTCTACCACTTGAGCCACAGCACCACTTCTGGCTTTTTCTGTTGATGTGGTATTGAGGAATCATCCCCAGGGCTTCATGCATGCTAGGCAAGCACTCTACCACTAAACCACATTCCTAGCCCTTTTTTAGCTTTTTCATTCAAGGCCAGTGCTCCATCACTTGAGCCACAGCTCCACATCGGCTTTTTGCTACTTAACTGGAGACGTGTCTCACGGACTTGCTAGCCTCAGCTAGCTTCAAATTGAGATCCTCAGATCTCAGCCTCTTGAATACCTAAGATTTACAGGCCAGTTTGGGGGGGTCTATATTTTCTCTTCCTTTTTTCTTTCTGCTGCCAGTCCTGGAGCTTGAACTCAGACCCTGTGCATTGTCCCTGAGCTTTTTTTGCTCAAGGCTAGCACTCTACCACTTGAGTCATAACTCTACTTTTTTTTTTTTTTCTTTTTTGGTTAATTGGAGATAAGAGTCTCATATACTTTGCTGCCTGGGCTGGCTTTGACCAGCAATCCTTGAATTTCAGCCTCCTTAGTAGCTAGGGTTACAGGTATGAGCCACTAGTGCCTGGCTCGTTAATGATATTAACTAAGGACATTGAAAAAAACTAAGCATTACCTGGCAAGGGATCGGACCGCCCCATTCTTGCTGAACAATGTTACAGACACCAACCAGTGCGGACTCTAGGCATGTCTTGTCGTAATCGTCCATGTTACTCAGTGCTTCCTTATTTGGCGAGAAAAAAATTGCTCATTATTCTCTGCTGTTTTGTTATTAGAAACCAATATAAACTGTACGAAGTCTGAGTATCATACAGCGAACACTGAGTTTCTGTAAGCCCCAAGGCATAGATTCCAGAAAACACACACACACACACACAAACACAGCAAAACAGACTTCCTCTACTGTAAAGGACAATGAAATAAGCTTAAAGCAATGACCAAAATGTATGGACTATTAACCATAATCTCCTAAACACCATTCTGTGCACTTTACACGGATTTAATCATCCTACCATTGTTCACCCTACTTTTAAATGAGGATTTTTTTTTTTTTTTTTGGGTCCGGTCATGGGGCCTGAACTCTGGGCCTGGACGTTGTCCCTCAGCTCTTCAGCTCAAGGCTAGCACTCTACCACTTGAGCCACAGCGCCACTTCCGGCTTTCTTCTTTTTGCTTATGTGGTGCTGAGGAATCGAACCCAGGGCCTCTGGCATGCAAGGCATGCGCTCTACCACTGAGCCACCTTCCCAGCCCTAAATGAGGAAATTTTTAAGAAGTGGCCTGACTCCAGAGCTTCTGCTTTTACCTCTTACACCTCATTCATTACATTGCAATTCTCTAAATTTTAGAACTGCTAAACACCAAAAAATCTTCAGCTAAATAACTTATAAGAAAACCAGTACAAGCAGAGTGGGGTGGCTTACGCCCGTAATCCTAGCTATTTGAGAGGCAGAGATTGGGAAATTGCTGTTAAGAGGCTGGCCTGGGGAGAAAATTCACAAGACTCTATTTCAACCAAAGACTAGGTGTGGTAGCACACACCTGTTATCCCCACTGACATGGGGAAGCACAAGTGGAAGGATCAAAGCCCAAACCATCCAGGGCATAAACTGAGACTATCATCTGAAAATAACCAGTACAAAAAAGGGTTGGAAGTAGGACTCATGTGGTAGAGCATCTACCTACCAAGCATGAGGTCCTGAATTCAAGACTCAGTACCACCAAAAGAGTTCACTAGTACAATTAAAAAAAAATTTAAGTCTCATAAAGATGCAAGATAATAAAAGGAAAGCTTTAATAAAAATTAGTAAGAATTCAGCCGGGCGCCAGTGGCTCATGCCTGCAATCCTAGCTACTCAGGAGGCTGAGATCTGAGGATTGCGGTTCAAAGCCAGCTGGGGCAGGAAAGTCCGTGAAACTTCTATCTCCAATAAACTACCAGAAAACCGGAAGTAGCACTGTAGCTCAAGTGGTAGAGCGCTCGCCTTGAGCTGAAGAGCTGAGGGACAGTGCTCAGGCCCAGAGTTCAAAGCCCACGACTGACAACAACAACAAAAAATTACTAAAAATTCAAACTACATTAATCCTGCATTTCCAAATTGCCCAACAATTATTTAATTGCTCAGTTTAATTTCAGAAACACTTATTGTCTACTCACTGGCCAAGACACTGTGCTAAGAACTATAGGAGATATTAATGGTTTAAAGACATCTGGCTAGCTCACAGAACCCATAAATATTATAGATCACGACAGACAATTTGCCCCATGAAATTAGAATGTGTTTGTGATTTTAACTAAGCATCACTATCTCGCAATACAGTGAAATTTGGGAAATTATGTAATCACTTAATCACAATAAAGAATTTGAAAAAAAAATAAAGACATCTGGCTTATCTCAGAAAAATATCTTTGAAAGACAATACCTATTAAGATTTTAAAATGACAACATTGAGCTGGGTACTAGTAGCTCATACCTGTAATGCTAGCTACTCAGGAGGCTGAGATCTAACGACATTTGACGCCACCTTGGGCAGGAAAGTCCATGAGACTCTTATCTCAATCAACCAGCAAAAAAGTTGGAAGTGGAGCTATGGCTCAAGTGGTAGAGTGCCAACCTTGAGCAAAAATTTCAAGGATAACGCCCAGGTCCTGAATTCAAGCCCCAGGATGGAAAAAAAGAAGAAAAAGAAAAAAAAATAATACCTTGGCATCTATAAATGAATACTATCTGTTGGAGAGTAAGCATCATTCTGAACTTTCTAGAAGAAGTTTTTGTGTGTGTGTGTGTTTTAATAAGGGCTATTTTTCATTACCTTAAAATTGTATGAGAAAGTAGAAAACAGCAGAATGGCAAAAAATGTTGAATTTAGGGACTGAAGCATGGTATGCTGAAATCTTCACCTTTCCTAAGAATTCCAGAAAATGGACCATGACCTTTCTCTGCTTATGTAGTGCTGAGGAATCGAACCCAGGGCCTCATGAATGCGAGGCAAGCACTTTACCAGTCAGACACCTTCCCAGCCCCCATGACCCCTTTCTCTACCTCATAGCTTTACAAAAGAAAGGCCTAGGACCTATTGGTTATGAATTATGCTTTATAGCTGTGCATATTAAGTGCCTGTATATTTATTATTAAATAATTCTAAGGTCTAAAATCAGTACACTATTATCATACTGCTTTCTTTCCAATCAACTTGGGTCTTTATTCCTTTTTGTACCTGCAGGGTGTTATAATCTCTTGTGAAGGGGACCATCAGCTCCCAAAGCGATGAGAAAACCACTAATGCTGTGAATTCAAGCTTGTAGTTTGTGGCCATGTGCTCAAACAGCATTGTCAACCCATGGGCTGCAAGGTGCTTCCGCTGGTATTCCTCAGACCCCTCGACTGACACAGGCCAAGTCATGGAGAGGGACACGGCCATCACCACCACTGTTGGCATGGTGAACAGAATCCAAGCGAGCCCAGTCAGAATGCAGACAACAAGCTACAAATAGTGAAATGCTGTGGGGAAAAAAAAGTCAGAAGTGTCACAGAAGGAAAGCAGTATCTTTTCACCATAACTGTAACCAATTTTCCAGAAATAAGGCAAAATAACCCCTATATAGGTCAATCTGCAGAGAATTCTGGGAGAAAGAAGACAGCAGCCTAATTCACTGGGAAGACCACTCCCAGACACGCTCAAAACACACTATCTACACCTGTGAATCAAGGGCTACCTTATTACCAGTGGGAAAAAGCATTAAAGGTAGGCCTTACTTCCAACTTTCAATTGTTATATAAAATATGTATTTATTTATATAATATACATATACTTACACATATACATTTATGTATAAATACATATATAGAGGGGGGAAGAGAGAGATACACACACACACACACACACACATATACACACTCGTGGTTCACAACTGTAATCCTAGCTACTCAGGAGGCTGAGATCTGGGGATCATGGTTTGAAGCCATCTCAGACAGGAAAGTCTGTGAGACTTTTATCTCCATTTAACTACCAAAAAGCAAGAAGTGGAGCTGTGGCTCAAGTGGAGCTGTGGCTCAGGTGGTAGAGTACTAGCTTTGAGTGGGAGGCGGGGGTAGAAGGGGAGCTAAGGATCAGCACCCAGGCCCTGAGTTTAAGTCTCAATACTGGGGTGCATGAACGCACGTGCACACATGCACGCGCACACATGCACGTGCTTGCTCCCACGGGCGCACGCGCGAGCGCGCGCACGCACAAACACACACACACACACACACACACACACACACACACACACACACACTATAGCTTAATGCTGGTGGCCTGTAATACTAGATACTCAGGAAGCTAAGGTCAGAGGCTTTCATTTTGGAGCCAGTCTGCTCATCAGTCATGAACCAGCAAGTTGAGGGAAAGCATGAAGCCCTGAATACAAGCCCCAATAGCAGCCCCAAAGTAAAATTAAATAAATATATAAATAAAATGTAATTTGGCTCCTGTGAACCACTATGTACTAAGTTTACAACAGCTCCCTTATAATTTGAATTTTAGAATTTCACACATCCGTGCTTGGGCATTGTACCAGCAAGCAGTCTGGCTATTGTTAGACATTTTGAAATGAATTCCAAAAAACAAACAGTGAACATTACCCTTGTATAATGTTTTTACATCTACCTAAAGTCTTCCACAATTGTATATGACACAAGCAATGTGACTATGAAGTTGTACAAAGTATACACATATAGTCCTGTAACCCACTTTCCTTAGTTATGTATTTTTTTTTAAGCTGGGTCATTTACTTGTAACTACATGCTATTTCATTGTGTCAACAGACTACAGTTTCTCTCTCCTTTCCTTCCCTTTCCCCTTCTTTCCTTTCCTTTCCATTGTAGAGCTTGAACTCAGGGCCTGGCGCTGTCCCTGAGCTTTTTCACTCAAGCCTAGAGTTCTACCACTTGGAGCCATAGCCACTCTTCTGGTTTTCTGGTACTTCATTGGAGATGAGTCTCACAGACTTTCCTGCCTGGGCTAGCTTTGAACCTTGATCATGAGATCTCAGCCTCCTGAGTAGTTAGGATTACAAGTGTGAGCCACCGGCGCCAGGCTCCTGGGCTGGCTTTTAACTGCTTTTAACTCTTCAGATCTCAGCCTCCTAAGTAGCTAGGATTATAGGCTTGAGCTACTGGTGCCCGGCACACTATAGTTTCTTAACAGAGGATCAACAAGTAGTATCCACATTAGTGGGTCTCTGTATTTGTTATTTCTTTATTTTTGTGCATAGAATTTTTTTAAAATTTTGTGAGTGTGCCAGTACTAAGATGGGAGTCTCTAGGATTCCATCTGGGTTGGATATGAGATGTGATCCTCTAGGTCTCAGCTTGCTAAGTAACTAGAATTAAACGTGACTGAAAACAATGTTTTAAACAGGGGGTTAGGAACACAGGTTAAACAGCAAAAGCGTTTTTTTTTTAAACCTCATAATAGACATAGATGTTTCAAATAGTTCAGATTTCCACATTAATAGACTAACCAGAAAAAAATTCACTCCTGAGAAGTTCCAAATGTTTAACAATTTTGATAGACAAATTTAAATTTGTCTCCCTCATCTCTGCCTATTAAAGTTGTTTGTGCAACATAACCCTGTTAAAAATGTCGTAGCAGCGCCGCTGCTTCGCTCTTTAGTCATGTTCTCTGTGTGAGACAGAACACGGTGTTGGATGGATGCTTGAAGAAAAGTGATTGAAGCATCTCAGCAGCTCTACAGAACACCGTCCAGCTAAGGCCCGCATCAGCGGCTCACGCCGGTCATCAACAGGAGGCTGAGAGCTGAAGATGGTGGGTCGAAGCCAGCCCTGCCAGGAAGCCTAGTCCTTGAGACTTTCTTTTTTTTTAATCTCCACTAACCTACCAAATAAACGGGATGTTCAAGTGTGGCTCCAGTGGTAGGGCGCTAGCCTTGAGCTCAGGGACGGGCTCAGGCCCTGAGTTCAAGGCCCCAGAACCAGCGCTAGAACCAAACAAAACCCCTCAGGGGGCGAGCCTCAAAGCGTGGGCCTCGCCTGAGTCTCCCAGCCGCCGCGGAGGCCGCAGCTACCTGTCAGCCTTCTCCCGGGCAGACGTCTGGCTGCAAATGTGCTTCCATACGGACGGCGACGGGAGGTGCCCCCCACAACCGACAACCAACCTCTAAAATCAGTGAAAAGACCTGGAAGTCCCTCCTGAGGAAAGCGGGGAGAGAGGGGCCCAAAACGGGGCGAAATGGGGCTGTTCACACAGCGCTCGGCAGTCCCGGGTCGCGGAGCGCAGGGACCCCGGGAATGGCGCCCCAGAGCCGGCGCGGGGAGGCCGCAATGGCCGGGCGCGGGGCCTGCGCGGCTCTTCTCACCTCACCCTCCGCCTGTGTCCCTACAACCGACTGAACTCAGGCCGCCGCCGCCGCCTCCACTCACCCCAAGCCCATCGCCGGCCACAGTCCGTCCGCTTCAACTTTCCGCCTGGGCGCCACAACCGGAACTATAAGGGCCGCGGGACCCCAGGGAGCCCGGCGCCGTCGGCGTCGCGAGAGGAGCAGACGCGGCTTCGGGGGCGGGAGGGGCGGGAGGGGCGGGGCTTCAGGCTGGTCGGGGAGGGGCGGGGCTGTGGCTCGGCTGGGCCACTAGGGAGCGCGTCCTCCCCAGCTCCTCTCCGCGGGGCGGGTAGGGGCGGGGTTAGGGGCGGGGCTAGGGGCGGGGTGGAGAGGCCCCACCCTCTCCTCGCACAGCCCTAGGAACACAAAGCCCTCTGGAAGGCCTTAGACACCAGTTTATTTCATCTAGTGACACAGGACACAGGGCACCAGAAAATTGGAAGGGGAGCTGTGACTCAAAGTAGAAGAGCATTAGCCTTGGGAAAAAAGAGCTCAGAGACAGTGCCCACATGAGTTAAAGCTCCACGACCAAACAGAGGGACAGACAGACAAACAGAGAAATCCCGCATAACTCCATTCAGAAAATGTATCTGGATATCTAAGAGGTTTTTCCTATTCTTTCACAATTCACTACATAGTACCACATCATCCTGATCCGCATTTGGCTACCTGGAATCTATTTGGTGTTTTATAAATCATTCCACATGCTCCCATAGAACATGAACAGCCACACCCCCACTCACCAATGGGTTATTCTACAGTAAAGCCAATAATATCTCCATACCATCTCCATGGTCAGCTGCATCATCTTTTCAAGTATAGCTGTATATGGTTTCAATAATGCACACATGGACCACCCACAACTAAATCATTTGCATAAATATCAAATGCTTTCATTCATGAAGAAAAAAATCTGCTTTGCTTTAACAAATATATTCGAAATGGTCCTTATCTCCAGAGCATTTTTGAAGAAAAAAAAAGGCAGAATGGAACCATGAAACTTGGAATATACGACTAGGAATTATCTCATTTAACTAAAAAGAAATAAGCCCTACCTTTAAACATATGGAAAACTCATTAAGCCATTGAGAAATGTGTGTAAACTGCATAGGTTCTTTGGCATGTCGGCACTGGGTCTTTAACTCAGTGCCTTAGCATTATTGCTGAGCTTTTCTGCTCAAGGCTAGCATCTACCCATTGAGCCAAACATCACTGGTCCATGAGACACATGGGATTAACATTCTAGGGTGTTTCACAAAAGAGAGTTACACAAAGTCTCAACAGAGGCTCATCTTAGTGACTCATTTTAGTGTTCAGGTTGAAGTAAGTAGAGATAGAAAAATACTACATGTCCTGATCCCCAGAGAGAAAAGACTCAGCCTTAGCATAGCAGCTGATGTCTGCAGGCTTCTTTGCTGTTTTCTTATGCAGGTAGTGGGTCATGAATTTCCTGCTCTCACTTCACTTGTTCCTGCTCTTGGCTGGTGCTCTGCCACTTGAGCCTGACCCCAGTTCTTTCTTTTTGAGGGTTAATTAGAGATTATAACTTTCTAGTATGGAGAGCAATGAATCATTCAAACCCAGCATTGTGCCTATTTGACAAAATTGATGGCCAGGAGTTGATGTGTGAAGGTAAACTTCATTTTTTTCTTTTTCTTTTCTTTTCTTTTATTTGAGAACATACTGTACAGAGGGGTTACAATTACATGGGCAGCATAATGCATACATTTCTTACCAAGCATTGCAGCCTCCTCCTTTGTTTACCCTTCACTTCCCTTCCCAGCCTCTCCCCTCCCCCCACCCAATCCTTCCCACCCTCCCCTGCCCCACACCGACATTGTAAAGCTCGTTCATTTTTTTCTATTTCATATCTGGACCTAATGTATAAGTCTGGCCTTTTTGCTTAAACTAATATATAATTTTCCCATTTCTATACATCTCTTTTCCCTTGGATTAAAGCTACCATTGCACACATTTCAGGTTTAGATGTCATTATCCTTTGTACCAGTAGTGGAGTTTGAACTCAGGGCCTTGAGCTTTTGCTTATTTCCTTGTTCAGTGCTTAAACATACAACTTGAGCCATGCTACAAGTTCCTGACTTTTGCTGACTCAGTGAATAAGTGTCTTTCATATTTGTCTATGGGGGCTGATTTGAACCTCCTTCCTGAGGAAGGACAGGGCAGTCTGGAAGATAGAATAATTGCGATGAGCCAGGACACCTGTCATGTCCTCTGAGTAAGTCCCTCTGAGTAAGTGCTCTTTCTTCTATTGATGATGGCTTTTACTTTTCAGTATACCTAATGCCTATGTATTTTGTCAAATACTTTTCCCCCAAAGGAGCTATTCAATGTAATTTTCAGGTGAAATTTACTTACATATTTGGACAAAGCACAATGGGTGAGCATAAGCACTTGAATTCCCTGTTACAAGAAAGTCCCCTATAAATTACATTTAGTCTGACATTTGTCTCAATAGACAGAACAACTTTCAAGGACATCTGGTTTGCTATGTCCTAGAGCTTTAGTAGTGGCCTGATCACCTCATGCAGGCATGGGCTGGGTTCCTTGGCCCTCACAGTGCACTGAACTCTTCCCTCTATAGCCAGTAAGTGCTCTTGGACAGCTCCAGGTCACTCTGTCTTTTGCCCTTACTCAGGAACCATGTGTCTGGGACATCAGATTGTACACGTAAAAAAAGCCAGAGTATTCAACATCCATAAATTTTACAACATAAACATATATCTTTAATAAATTTAGAAGAATAAAAAGAATGCAAATTTTACAACAATCAGGACAAAAAGAAAAAGAGAGATATCCCCAGGGAGAGGGGAGGGAAGCTCTAAGGCTAGGTCGGCTTCTAAGTTGCCTTCAAACATAAATTCTGCCTCAGAATCCTCCAAAGTATCTAGCTCCTCATGAAAGAGAGGATTTGCTCCAGCAAAGGCTGGAGAGGCAGATTCTAATTTCTCAGTTGGAGATTGGTTCTGCTGCAGCAGGACAGATTTGTCCAGATGTTCAGTGAGGACAGATTCACTTTCCTGAGCTGCATCTAATGTTGGGACCTCACTCATTGGTTCCCCTGAGCACAGACTGGGGACATTTTCCATCAGCCCCACGTGTGCTACTCCCTCCAGCACGCCAGGAGGCGTGCTGATTTGACCCTTTTTGAGCTGATCTGGGCTGCCTGTGAAAGTCACAGGAAGACAATCACTATTACCTTCTTCTTTCTTTGGGGTCCCTACAAGTTCAGCTCTGTTACATGTGGGCTTCAGAACCACTGTCTTATCCACAGGACTCACAACCTTTTGGGGCCTCACTGCAAATGCATTCAACCCCTCTACATGCACATGCATTGTGTAGTCCAGTGAGGGCTCCAGATCCCCATCCATCAACATCCTTGACATCACCGAGGGCTTCTTTCTTGGGAGGTCAGGAGAAGCTGCTCTATGGTGGCCAAAACCTGAGAAACAGAAATAGGTAAAGGAGTTTGAGAATGGATTCTGGATGTTCAGGTGGAGTTCAATTTCCATGAGGCTCTAATGGAGGAAGCTGTACAAGTTTACTTTGGACTGATCACTGATGAGAAGGTAAGGTCTTTCCCAAGAGTGGTTAAGCACAAGTGCTTTCACCAATAGAACCAACACTGCCTGGCACATAGTACCATAAAAAGACATTCTTACAACCTGGGGGGTAATAAGGGCTCTCAGGCAATTAGGCTCATCCCTAGAGGCCCAGGCACCATCCCTACTCACAAGCTCTGAGGTGACCACACAGGGACTTCTTCCTCTGTTTCTTGGTCTCATTCTTGCTGCTCTCCTCCAGCTCATCCAGATGAACGTGGAGATTGAGGACCAGATCTGAGGAGGGCATGTGGAGCATGGCATAGTGGGTAAGTTCTTTCACCGGGTGTCGGTTCTGGGGCTCTCGGAAATCAGCAGGATAGCAGTCCATCCACATGGTGAAGATGGAACAAAGGGTGCTGTGGGCAGATTGGTGACAAGAAGAGTGAGTGTCTGCCCTCCCTATCCTGGGCCTCCTATAGCCCCTTTCTGCAAGGCTGCTATATGCACACTTGCATGCTGGGAAGCAGGAGGAGACTCCTGCAGGCAGAATGATCTTCACCACCCACGTCTAGAAGCTTCTGAAAGATAATTCTCCAATATTCTCACTGTGATAGGTCACAAGAAGGAACTGATTTTGAACACACAGCCCTCCCTGTCATCCCTGAGAGTCCACAACCACACCACAGCTGTGTCCTCTGCCACCACTCCAACCCCAACCCTCTGCCCCTAGTGGAAAGCACAATGATGTGCAAATGAGAAATCTGCACTTTGAATCAGAAGCCTCAAAGATACCATTTTGAATGAAGGGGCCTTTTCTTTGTGCCACAGTCCACTTACTTCTTTATTTGTTCATCTTCCTCAGAGTTACTGCCCGGTAATCTGTACCTATGGGAGGACAGGAGGAAGTCACCTCTCAGCTTCTCCTTTTCTGCCCACACAGGACACATATGGGATGGGCTCATTCCCAGATGGGAATGGAATCTGACACATAAATATGTAAGATACGGTTCAGTGAAAATTCTGCTAAGAGACTTATATGCATTGGTCCAAGGTAAATGTGACAGTGCACATGCCTCTAATCCTAGCTAATCAGGAGCATGAGATCTCAGGTGCACAGTCTGATCAGACATTAGTCAGTAAAAGTCTAAGGACATTAATTTTTAAAAGGCCAGAATTGCACCTATGGTTCAAATGCTGTAGTGGTAGCTCTGAGCACCAAAGAAACAGCACCAAGACGCTGAGTTTAGGTTGAAGGACTGACACACACACAAAAACATAAAAGCTTCAGGGGTTATAAATATGTAAAGCCAACATAATCCCTCCCTGAAATCTCTGAGTTGATTCAGCCTCCAGTTCACCCACCTCCCCACACCCCAGCCTTTCCTGGGTCTACGTTATTCACAGACATCCAATTGCTAATGAAACGTTATTTGCTCATGGGAAATGTGATTTCCTAGAACCTCACCTAGGTGAGGGCAGAAGTTGTGTGCCACGGGCACATGCCTGTAATCCTAGCCCCTCAGTAAGCAAGCTTCTGAGGTTCCAGGAGCTTTTCTGGGAAATGTCCTGGGCAGACCACTACTAAGAAACTACGCAGGGTATGCACTTTCTTGTCTCATGCCAAGCTCCTGTGAGAAGACCCCCATGAAATCAACAGGTTCAGAGGGGTGCCAAGTATTCCACAACTCAGCCAGGAATAGCTGAACGGTACCGGTTTTGAAGGGGGAACACTCACTTTTTGAACACAATATCCAGCACTTGCTCCATTGTTGCCCACTGTCTATAATTGTGGAGGAAGTTTCCAACATAGAAGAGATCGCCTTTCTGGTAGGCTGGGACCAGGTTCATCACCAACATGTCCAGCAGGCTTGCCTCCGGGCTCCATATATCGCATGGCACATTCAGGGTCAGGGCTGACGTATTAGCACACTAAGGCGAGACAAAGAATCAGAAAAAAACCATGGAAATGAGAACACTTCCAAATGAGTAATTGTGATAGAGTAGATTGACAACTATGCAGACAGTATTATCTCAGTAAACCTAAATCACATAAGAAGGTTATACTGTGGACCAGGTTGGGGTTAAGTAGGTTTTCTATCATGAGTATACCTTGCCTGAGATGCCTTGTGATTGCCTAGGTTTCTTTTTGGACAAATCTCTGAGATGGTTGCTTCGTGGCTTGCCACTGATCCAGTGTCTACAGCTTTGACTGAGGCACCCATCCTTCTCTTGGCTGAGACCAGAGTCTCGAGACCTGCGAATACAGCACAAGAACATGTTTCTGGCTCCGGAGTCACAGGCCAAGTGAGCTGGCTTGAGCCAACTGTGAGTTACCGTGGCCTGCTATCAGGGTTCCATGTTCTATTCCATTGTGAAGGAGGCAGGGTCACCTGTCAGGGCCCAATGACCTCTGCTGCTTCCTCACACAAGAAATATTCCCATCCACCCAATATTGCAATGTGTACAAGTTAACAGCACACCTTGTTTGTCCAATCCTAATCTGCTAGTCCTAGGTTCTGGCATGTTCTCTGCTTCCAGGAGTCACTCCTAGGTCACATTCATGGCATATCTGTCACTATTCCTCTCATCTGGCTCAAATCATTTGATTTCTCAGGGCCTTCGGTGACTATCACATCTTTCTGGCACATATTTTTGACATCTACATCCTAGGTCATTGTTGACTTTCTGTAGCCTAATCTGTTTGTCCTTGGAACCCCTCTGTGGTGTCTTCTCCAAAAAATGCAAATACTTAGAGATGGGAAAATCAAAGATGTATTGGAAAACATTCATTACACATATAATCAGCCATTTTTACAGGTGTTCATTTTTGTAACTGAGAAAATTATTTTTTATACTTGCAATATTTCATGGAGGCAAGCAGAGAAAGGAAGAGCTGCTGCATTGTCTTCTTATGATGACTAGGACTTGTTTTACTATAGCTTCGAAGGAATATAATATTTAAGGTAGAAACTGCTCCTTTCATTTTTACAAGCTAATCGTTTATATAGTTATTTGCATCTGAATTCTTTGCTTCTGTGTCCCATTATCTTTCTTCCTCCCTCAACAAAAACAGGAAGAAGGAATTTCACACATTGCTGAGCTGTTGTCCAATCTCTGCATAGGAACTTAAGATACAATAGTTACACTGCTTTTGTGTGTGTGTGTGTGTGTGCGCGCGCGTGCATTTGTGAGCTTGGACCCTTTGCCCTATCCCTGAGCATTTTTCCTCGAAGCTAGTGTTCTACCACCTGAGACACAGATCTATTTTGAGCTTTTTGTAGTCAGTTGGAGATGAGAGATTCGTGGAACTTTCCGACCCAGCATGGACATTGCTCTTCTTCAGCCTCATCTTTCCTCAACTGTGGCAATGGCGGTTCAGTTTCTGGATTTCCCATCCAAGCACAGGCACAAGCCATCCTCCACTGCACATGTCTCTTTGTGCCCCTGGATACAAAGGTAGAACCTCTGAAACTCAGAACCAAATTTTCTGATTAATTAGGATCACGGGCCTGAGCTACATATGAACACCTCATTACCTGCCCTCGCACATTTTTTGGGGGTTGGGGGATTGTTCGTGGGGCTTGAACTCTGGGCCTGGGCCCTGTCCCTCAGCTTTTCAGCTCAAAGCTAGGGCTCTACCACCTTGAGGCACAGTACCACTTCCGGTTTTCTGGGCACTTATTCGGAGATCAGAGTCTTATGGATGTTCCTGCCCCGGCTGACTTTCAGGTGCAGTCCTCAGATCTCAGCCTCTAGAGTAGCTAGGATTATAGGCGTGGGAAACCAGCACCCAGCACATGACCCCTTTTTGCAACAGCATTTTGCGAATTTAACTATATTGACTTGAGACAAATATATCAATAATTTCCCCAATAATGTGTTTATATTCATGTTTCTTTGTTTTTTGTTTTTTGGATTTTTAAAATTCTGGTTGTGGGGCCTGAACTCTGGGCCTGGGCGCTGTCCCTTCCCTCAGCTCTTTACCTCAAGGCTAGCACTCTACCACTTCAGCAACAGCACCGCTTCCGGCTATTTTCTTTTTGCTTATGTGGTGCTGAGTAATTGCACCTAGGGACTCATGCCTGAAAGGCAAGCGCTCTGGACTGAGCCACCTTCCCAGCTCTTGTATTAATGTTTTGTTAAACAATATATTGGAGACCCATAATATCATATGCCAGTCCTCCTTTAAAATACATTCAAATATATGTATTATCATATAGTATATTATGCCATATATATTATATATTATATGTAAATGACGTATATAGTAAATACAGAAAATAATCCCAATTCTAGAATTTAGCTTTTCCTGTCACAATGTTACCCAAGTCTTCCGTCAGACAAGCAGATTTTCATCAACAATCTCCCTCGTTCATTGTCTTTTATTTCTTGAGTAAATGAGTCTTCTTTACCACCAATAGCTATACACAAACACGGTATGAACACAGTGTCTCTGGCTCAGGCCTATATTCTTTGCTAGTGAACAGAATGAGATCTGAGGATCGTGGTTCAAAGCCAGCTAGGTCAGGAAATGCTATCAAATTCTTATCTCTAGCTGTAACTCAAAGTGTTAGAGTGCTAGCCTTGAGTGAAAGAACTCAGGGACAGTGGCCAGCTTTTAAGTTCAAGCACCACCATTCGGCACACATGTCCCCTACACGCACACTCTTCACTCGGTCCCTTCCTAAACCCTCTGTCCTCTTCACCGAACTGGTGATTGCCAGAGTTTCTGGATTTCCCACTCCAGCATGCCAACCAGCCATGTTCCCTCTGCACATGCACCTCTGCCACACTGCAAGGCCCAGGCCTCCTCTCAGAATTGATTGCCATGGGATAGAGAGCAGATGAAACTCAAGGACTCATAGAACTTGTGCTTCTAGACAGGGAGACTCAGAACTTTTCCTAACCTGGTATACAGAGACACATTGATCTGTTTGAGTAGAACAATGACAACATGGTCAAAATAAAATTTTTGGCTACCGCAAAAGACACCCTTTTCCAAATACTGTTAAATATTCCCTCAGATTTTCTTAAATGTTACATAAAAGTTCATCTATTTACATGTCAGAGGTAGTAGCTTTTGATATAATGAATGGGAAAAGGCAGCCAAAATAACTTCTTACAGGAAAAAATGCCTAGCCCAGGTAAGCTAATATGTGCAGCAAGCTCATTTCCAGCCCATTCTCCAAAAGCAGGCATGGGTCTTTTATTGTGTCATCTTGATCGCTTACAGTCCATGAAAACCCTCATGCAGACTTAGCAAATCTTCATGCAAACCCCAAAGCAAGGAACATTTTAAGAGCATAAAATTGCAGCACATATTTAACTCTTGCTTTAAAAATTTATATGTTCTCTATTTGCACAGTGCAGAATGGCTCATTGTTGGCAGAGAGCTTCAAACATCAACACATTTACCCGACTGGCTGGAAAGGGGAAGTTATCCCTAGTAAGAGAAGGGGCTTGAGATTCAAGAAGGACGAGTTTTCAAAGGTACTTGTTCTGATATAACACAGTTTTGTCTCTCATCATCAAGGGTCCTATTTCAGCACAGTCTGCTTCCTCCCACTCAGGCCCCATGTGCCCAGGATATCAGATTGGAGGTAGAAGAGACCACAGTTTTTTGTATTCAAGAATTGTACAACATCATGTAAACATGGACATTTTAATACCATTAAAACTATAAATAGTAAATCATGAAAAAAAGTAAAATAGGCTTTGCTCAGGGAGGAGGGAGGCAAGATCTAACACTAGACCTTGTTCCAAGTTGCCTGCAGGCAGGAAGGCTAATTCAGAGTACACAATGGAATCTACCACCACACATAAGGCAAGATGTTCTTCCTGAGTTCTCAACTGGACACTGGTTCCATAGGGTGTCCATAGAAATCAAAACCTATTGTGGCCGTTCTACAAATGAAAATAAGCACATTCCATCCACACGCTTGGGGCAGTGCAATGATGGCTCCAGATATCTACCTGTCAGCACCATGGACATCACTGGGGGCTTCGTTAGCATGGGTTCAGGAGGGACTGCATTACGTTGACAAAAATCTGGGAATGGAAATAGGTACATGAGTATTAGAGTGAACTCTAGAAGTTCTGGTGTGACTCAACTGCCATGAGGATGTAATGGAGGCAGTTGTAGCATTTGAGTTGAGACTGAACTTTGATGAGAAGACAGGGCTTTTCCTCACCCATGGCTATGACTGAGTGCTTTCAAACTGAGAGTAGACATTGCCTGGCAGAGAACATCTATCAAAAGACACTTTGCAAAGCTGGGGAGTACTAAGAGCTCCCTGCCAATCACCAGCCTGGGAAGACCATCCCTAGGGGCCCTGTTTCCATCCCTATCACAAGCTCTCAGGAGGCTACACAAGGACTCCTCCCTCCCTTCCTTGTTCTGATTAGTCAGGGGCTCCTCCAAATGCTCTAAAGAACTTGTAAGTGGAGGAGCGGGTCTGAGGAGGCCATGTTGAGCATTTGATAGTGCATAAGTTCATTCAGATTGTTTCTGTTCTTGTGTGCATAAAAATCATCAGGGGCAAAGTCCTTCCACATGGAGAAGACAGAACAAAGGATGCTGTGGGCAGATTGGGGACAGGGAGAGTCAGAGGCCACCTTCCCCATCCTGAGCCTCCCATAGCTCCTTTCTGCCAGGACTCCTATGCTGTGGCTGTCCATCCTATACCCAGACTTGCATGTTGGGAAGGGGGAGTGGACTCCTCCAAGCAGGATGCCCCTCACCACCTACTTCTAGAAACTTCTGAAAGACAATTCTGCAAAATTCTCACTGTGATAGGCAATGAGAAGGTGGTTTCTCCACTGGATCTGACTTTGTGCACACAGCCCTCCCTGTCATCCCTGAGAGTCCACAACCACAGCACAGCTGTGTCCTCTGCCATCCACTCACATCCCAAGCCTCAGCCCCCTGCTGCAAACCACAAGTGGTGTGCAAAGGAGAACTTTGCACTTTGAGTCGGAAGCTCCAAAGTTCCCAGTTTCAAGGACATCCCTTCCCTTGCTCCCAAAATCCACTTATATCTTAACTTGTTCATCTTCCTCACAGTTAGTATGGAGGGATCTATACCTGAGGGAAGAGAGGAGGAAGTCTCTTGTTCAGAGCTAACGGGAGGCCCATGGGGCTGGCTAATGCCCAGGTGAGAATATAAAATAGAAGGTACGGGAGATATGTCTATAATGGCCCGTGAAAATTTTAAGAGGCTTGAATGAGTGAGTCCAAAGTAAATGCTTCTGCCA